AACTTGGGATTGAACCCAGAGCCTTTGCACTGAACTATATTCCCAGCACTTTTTTAAAAAATGTTTTTGAATTTTGAGTCAGGGTCTTGCTAAGTCACTAAATTGCCCAAGCTGAGCTCAAACTTTCTGTCCCGCTGCCTCAGTTTCCCAAAAGCTAGGGTTGTAGGCATCACCAACAAGAGGCTTTTAACCTCTCTGAAGTTTAGACTTGTTGTCTGTGTAATAAAAATAAACCTGTTTATTTTTTGTCATATTTCATCATCTTTTTGTGAGAATGAAGCAGAATATAAAAAGTGAAACATTCTGAAAGTTATACAGTATGAAAGGCACAGTCATTTGCAATTCTTAATTGTGCAATTCTTATTGCAACTCAGTGATTACAAATGAATCGCAAGAAATGAAACTTGACTGTGGGGACTGGGTCCCTTCATGCTCGTGACTTGCTGTGTAGCGAGCCTCACCAAATTCCATTTCTCTGCCTAACAGGTGTTATGAGTTAAGGTGTACCAGACAAACATGCAGATGAGCAGCTGTCAAGGCAAGCTGTGCCCTAGTCCCAGCCCCACTGTTCCTCAGAAAGAGGTGCTGGAGCCAGGATGTTCTGCTTTATGCACTGATCCAGATTCTCTCCCTCCCCATCAGGCAAGAGCAGGAGCGACTCTGCCAGTGGGGAACATTAGCTACTGAGGGGCCCAGACAGTCAGGACAGTAACCTGCTGGCCAGGGTTACATGAGAGTTTTTCCCTTCCTTTCTGGGAACAGAGAAGAAGCCATGGTTACTTCTGGGTGGGAGATTATGAGGCACACTGACCAGGGACCCCAGAGTGCACCACCCAGACAGCTGCTGCTAAGCCTCTCCCTTGTCTCCAGAGAGGAGTTGATGTGGGCACAGAAGATAGCCCCTGCATTACAGCAAAACTCACACATGTGAAGCCACCTTTGGTGGAATAGAAAGTTAGGAATAATGGCTCCACTGACTCATACTTTCAGACTGTCCAGTCAGGAAGCTACTTCTTCTGATAATCTTCTCTCCATCACAGTCATTGCAGCAAAATGGGACTGAACTCAAGATATTGGGCTTAAATTTTTGTATCAGCAAGATAGTTATATAACACTTCTCAAGTTGTATGAGGATCTTGGTAAAGTGCTGACAAAAATCCTTGCTTAAATTTAGAATAGGATGTTTTATTTCTGTTACTATTTGAATAAGATAAGAATTAAACTAGCTAAACTTATTGTAAATTTCTTAAAATGGAGATGCATGATTTGGGGCCCAGAAAAAAAATTAAATTACTTTCCAAAAACTACTTTGGAAATGACTAGACAGACAAAAGTTTAAAGACCCATATCTC